TTCCCCTGGAACTGGCATTAAGGACGGTTCATAGCCACCATGTGGGTGCTGGGAATTGAACCTGGGTCTTCTGCAAGAGCCATCACTCCAGCCCCAACACCTTGTTTTTTGAGACAGGGTCTTTCACTGGCCTGGAACTCCTTCTGTCCTCACCTCCCCAGTGGTGGGATTTCAAGTACATACCATCACACCTGGTTTTTGTTTTGTTTTTGAGACAGGGTCTCCTTGTAGCCTCAGCTGGCCTGGATGGCCTGGAACTCTATGTAGACCACACTGGCCTTGATTTCATAGAGATCTTTCTGCCTCTGCCTCCTCAGTGCTGGGATTAAAGGCATGTGCCACCACCTGGCCTACCTGACTTTTTTTTTTTTTTGAAGACATGGATTCTGGGGAATCAAACTCAGATTCTCATATTAGCATGACAACTCCTTTACTGAGCCATCTCCCCAGCCCTTGACAACTCTTTTGATGACAGATTTGAAGGAGTAGTTCTCTTCTGGGAGTTCTGAGTGGCCCTTCTGGGCTCCCTACCTTGCCTGGGAGTGCCATGTGCCTTTGGGTGGGGAGGTTCCCTACAACATTAGCATCTAGGTGGAACCCAGGATGTGACAGAGGGAAGAGTTTGGGGGTGCTTAGTGAAACATCTGAATTTGAGGTGCATCTCTGCAAGGTTTGGTCCCTGTTAACACATCTAGCCCCATGAGGAATCCTATAGTCAGGTCTGGACATGAAGAAAGAGCCCATAGAACTGGTGAGCATGAATTCCCTGGAGAGACGAACTCATGCACTAGCACGGAGTTCCGGTCTACCTGATGGGTGAAGGACAAGGAAAGCATAATTGCTGGGGCTTTTAAGTAGGTATCTGGTTCATGAACTGCCTTTCCAGCTGCTCTGATGCCCCGTGGAAGCCAGCCTCTGTCTCTGTGCAGCAGGTTGGTGACCTGTTGTAGATGATCCTCAGGGTTTGAGTGCTTCCTGGAGGCATGGAATGTTTCACCTCTCCTTAGAGCATCATGTATCTTAACCAGCTTCCCTCCAAGACAGAATGTCTAGCTCGAAGGAAACTGCTACACAACACTTCTCAGCTGAGACCTTAAGCCACAGAGCTTAAAGAATAAAGGTCGTTATGTGTTAATAGAGCAGCCGATCCAGAGCTGAGGAGAGCTTTGCAAGTGGTTTGAACACAGTCCTCTCTATGTGTTTATCTCTGCTTTTGTGCAATGTCATCTTTGAGTACAGGCCAGACAGGGAGACATTCTGGAAGCATCTGCCTTCACTCCAGCCACATCAGAGAGCAGCAAGAGTTTCAAAGTTATGCAGAGGTCTGGCGTTGTGCCCTGCTTAATACAGGTACAGGAGTGAGTCTGGGGACCTGTGGATGCCACTCAGTAGTAGAGTGCCTGCCTAGAATCCCCTAGTGAGGGGCTGGGGTGTAGATCAGCAGTACAGTGCTTGCCTATTATGTTCAGGGCCCTAGGTTGGATCTTCAGTACCACAGGCAGTGGGGGCAGAGGCAGTCTTAGGAGGAAGGCCCCTAGAAGTTGAAGCTCCTGAAGTAGTTGGTTACAAGAGTAGCCTGTAAGTGTCTGAGGATGGCAGGAGCAGCCTTCACAGTGGGGCACAGTGTATAATGGCAAGGAACCAGGCTTCTTGTGGGCTCCATATATCCTGACAGCCAGCCACTGACCCAGAAGGTTCTTGTGAGAGAACACAGTCTAAGGGGGTTTGTATTTGGAATGGCACATCTTAGTAGAGGTCTGCTTGTGTGGGTGTCTTGTGATCTGAGGACTGTCTTTGAAGTCTGTTAGGGATGGTCACATTCCTCTCCCAAGGAACTACACAGGTAGTGATCCTGGCAGGAGACCCCAGAAAACCTCCTTGAGAGGTGTCCCAAGAGAGAAAACCTAGTTCCTAGTTAGGCATGGTGGTGCAGGCCTATACCCCTAGCACCAGGAGTTGAGGCTTAAGGATCAGGAGTTTAAGGCTGCTACATAGTAGTTTGGAGGCCAGCCTGGGTTATTCTAAAAGAATTCTAAAGTGGGCTGGAGAGACGGCTCAGAGGTTAAGAGTACTGGCTGCTCTTGTAGGGGACCTGGGTTCCATTCCCAACACCCACATGGACGCTAACAACCATCCATAACTCTAGTTCCTAGGGGATCCGATGCCCTCCTCTGACCTCAGTGGGCACTGCATGACATGGGTACACTTACTTACATGCAGGCAATACACTCATACACATAAAAAAATAATAAAGAGCACTGACTGCTCTTGCAGAGGACCTCGATTCCCAGTACCCACATGGCAGCTAACAACCATTCTTCACTCCAATTCTAGGGGAATTCGATGCCCTTTTCTGACCTCTGTGGGCAGTGCATGACATGGGTGCACTTACACAGGCGCAGACAATACACTCATACACATAAAATTAAAATAATATAAAATATTTTTTTTTAATTCTAAGACGGTGAGCCAATCCCAACCAGAGGCAGGCAGATTTCTGAGTTCAAGGCCAGCCTAGTGAGTCTCAGGCCAGCTGGAGCTACAGGGAGACTCTTTTTCATAAAGAACCCCCCTCAAAAAATTCTAAGGTGGTGAGAGAGTTCAGAGTGGGGTGGGAGCAGCCCTGGAGCACCCACCCCCAAAACTATCCAGTGAAATATGGCTCTTTTTTGTTCTTCTTTGCTGAGAACACCCTGCAAAGGCCAAAAGACATTGAAGCAGGTGGAGAGACATGGGCAGTGGTGTAGGAGACCAGGGATCCCTCCCTATTCAGTGTGGGCCTGTAGCAAGGATGTGAGTTAGTTATTGGATGTAAGCTTTGGTCAGGTGAGATGGGACCTGAATTCCTAAAAAAAACAGACCTCTTTTTTGTGTTTTTTTTTTGTCTTTTTGAGACAGGGCCTCCTTGCAGCCCCAGCTGACCTGCAACTGGCTATTGCAAACCTGTCTGGCCTGGAACTTAACAAAAATCCTCCTGCCTCTGTCTCCCAAGTGTTGGGATTAAAGGCATGCACCTCTATGCCCGGCAAGAGATCCTTTTCTTTTCTTTTTTTTTTTTTTTTTTTCTTTTTGAGACAGGGTCTCCCTGTAGCCCAGCTGGCCTGGTACTTGCTTTGTAGACCAAG